ACCTCTCCAAAGTACTGAAGAGCAATCAATGATGTCTCTCTGGAGACTAAGGTATGTCTGATACAGGCCATGGTCTTTGCTATCACTTGTTATGCATCAGAGAGTTGGACAATGACTAGGAAGTATAGAAAGAGAATTGATGCCTTTGAGGTATGGTGCTGGAGAAGAGTATTGAGGGTACCATGGACCGCTAGGAAAACAAATAGATTCGTCCTGGAAAGGGTTAAACCGGGCGGCTCCTTGGAGGCAAGGATTCTGAGGCTCCGTCTAACATACTTTGGACATGTTGTAAGGAGGGACTGGTCCTTGGAGAGGGACATCATGCTTGGGAGGGTGGAGGGACAGCGCAGGAGAGGAAGGCCCTCTATGAGGTGGATTGATTCAGTGACTGGGGTAATCGGGATGGGAGTGTCAGAGACAGTGCGATTGGTACAGGACAGAGCAGAGTTTAGGGCTGTTGTACATAAGGTTGCTATGAGTTGCAAGCGACTCAACGGCACATAACAACAACAACATAAATATGTATATATATATATGTATAAATATCAAAGAGTCTTGAGAGTTCTTATCTCAGTTACATTAAAATCTAGAATAATCCAGAACACTGTGATGTGTTGCAGGAACTATGTATGCATTACAGAGTTTAAATCATTGAATGTCAACTACTTCTTACAACTTGTTTTGTTAAAACGGAAAAATAATGAACAGTTAACAAATAGTTTCTGCTAAAAGTCAAGCCCTGTGCTTGCTTCGGCAGCACATATACTAAAATTGGAACAATACAGAGAAGATTAGCATGGCCCCTGCGCAAGGATGACACGCAAATTCGTGAAGCGTTCTATATTTTTTTGCCATGACTGCCCCCGTCTCCCCTTTTGGAAATATAAAAACCTTCAGGACCATACAACTTCATACTGGAGTTGCAGAAGAGAACATATTTTCCCTTATTTTGAGTTAATCACAATACTTATTTAATGAGCGTATTTTGTGCAATTTTTTTCTTCAGATTGTCTTTAACTTTGTTTTTAAAAGGCCTTCAAAATAAATAGATTAAATACCATTATTTTTTTTTTAAAAAAAAAAGTCAAGCCCTTATTATTGGGCCTAAACTAGAAAGCTGAAATGCAAAGTTTTCCAGCTGAGACACACTTACTGAAAAGATATTACGCATGTAAAAGTTAATTAACCTAAAGGCAGTAGGTTTAAGAATAATTCTGCAGCTCAGCACTAAGATCTGAGTCATATGAACTATACATGAACAGCCAACACAGGAAGCAGGCATCAGGCCAAGTGCACAATGTATTTACTTAATCAAACATTCCTGGCCTGCTCTGTACCACGAGACAAAGTTACAAGGAGATGCCAAAGTAAAAAACCTACTATACTTAAGACAAGGGGCAAATAGCTACTGCATGCATATCCCTCTTTACTTCAAATCTCATCCATAGGTTTGTAAACTCAAGGAGCAGATAAAAACTCCAGGATGAGACTCTTCCACCAGCTTAGCATAACACATAAAAAACTACAAGTATCTAGGAACATTTATCTAATTAATCTGCAAACTACAACTCAACTCTGGTAACAGAAAACGTAAAACCCCTGTGTTGCTTTGCTGAGTGCCCGTGAACTCACTGTGACTCACAGCGAAACAGATGGGAGCTCTGCCCTCTACTGCCCATCCTCTCAATCTCTGACACGCTCAAGCCCACTGCTGAAATCACTGAGTCACCCCGTCTCGCTGAGGGGCTTCCTCTCTTTTTGGGGACCAACTACTCACCCCAACACGATGTGCCTTTCCAAGGACTACTGCCTTCTGACAACATGCCCCAAGTGGGACAATTTATCACACTTGCCTCTTAGAAGCACCCTCACAGCTCTTCTTACAAGACAGATCTGCTTGTTCTTTTCACAATTCATGGTACAGTCAATATTCTTTGCCAATAATACAATTCAAAAGCATCAAAATTCCTTGTTATGTCTTCCATATTACTGTCCACATGAATAGAAACCAGCTGATAATACTACGCCATGGATCTGTCACGTCTTTGTATTTAAACTGATTATCCTTGCTCTTCAGAACTCCGGAGAGGGCCTGGATAGCAGATTTCTCCCACGTAACACACGTTCATTTCCTAATTGTTGTTACCAGAGCTACTACTGACGGTAGATCCAAATAAGATGAAATCAATGACAACTTCAGTCTTATGACCATCTATCATGATGCTGCTTACTGGGCCAGTGGTGAGGTCTTGTCTTCATGCTGAGATAGAATTCATATTGAAGTCTGTATTTGCTGAACTTCGGCAGTGAGTGCTTCAAATGTTCTTCAATTTCTAAAAGCAAGATTGTGTCAACTACATAATGCAGTCTGTTGAGTCTTCTTCCAATCCTGATGCTGGGATTCCTCCTGCAATAGTCCACTTTCTCAATCAGTTCAGCATACAGACCTGAGGTATGGACAAAAGGACATAAATCCATTTCCTGAATTTAAACTATGCAACATTCCCTTGTTCTGCTGAGAAAACAGTTTCTCACTCTAGGTAGAAAGGTTTCAAGTGAGCACAATGAAATGCTGGAATTCTCATTCTTCTCAATGTTTGCCATAATTGGGTATGATTCACAAAGTCAAATGCTTTTGCCTAGTCAATCAAACACAAGCAGACAGCTTTCTGATATTCTTTGCATTCAGCCAAGCTCCACCTGACAACAGAAAGGTATTTCTTGTCCCTTGGCCTTCTCGAAGCCAGCTAGACTTTCTAGTAGTTTCCTGCTAATGTACTACTCTGGCGATTTTTTTAATCTCCAGCAAAACTCTTATTAGTTTGTGATGTTAATGATATTGTTGGATAGTGAAACACAGAGAGTAAAACAGCACAGAAATCACGTTGCAAGAGTCACATTTTACATTGCTAACAATGATCTCTCTTGAAATGATCTTTTTAAGTAAGAAGACCATTTGTTATAGAGGATCCACTCTCTAGTCCAATATATTATATTATATTCAATATATATAACAAAGTCAAACTGGAATCCAAGATGAGTGCACAAAGTGGAGTCCGACTCACTGTCATTTCCACAGAACAGGGGACAGCTGCCCCACGGAGCGTCTACGGCTGTCATCTTTCAGGAAGCAAACTTCCTCCTCATTCCTTCACGGAGCAGCTGGTGGGTTCAAACTGCCGACCTGATCAGTGGCCACTATGCTCTTCAAACATAAAAGGCACACCAATGACACAAACACTAATAAGGCAAAGCCAGGGCTTACCCTAAAGAGACTCCTAGCTCACTCAGCATGGATTCCAGTCTTCCTCAGAAGGCCACACCCACCACAAGGTGCTCCAGGGGACTCGCTGCACACAACGCTGCTATACTGCAAGCTGCCTTCTGGAGAGCTGACTCTCTGCATCCAAGTCTTTGAGGATTTTCAACAGAAACATGGCCTTGTGTGTTCCAATCATGGCTCTGTCTATCACACCAGACTGCTTACTTTGCTAATTTAACCGTTCTCTGTTGAGGAATACTCGGACCACTGCTAGTTTTCCACTATAACCTGAAGCACAATGCTGTGATTAACAGACTACTAAGCATACCCGTACACAGAAGAATAGCTGTTTACACAACTATTACTCCAATATACCAACCAACCACTGACACCAAAGAACAAAAACTTGAGGATCTACTACTTTTAGTCCAAACATGGTCAAACATGGTACCCAGACATGGTAACAATAGTAATAACTGGTGACTGGGATAGAAAAATTTGCTTAAATAAAGGAGGAGGACTGATAACTGGAAAATACAGCTTTGTTTTTCCAACTACCAGGACTGGTAGTTGAAAAATACTGCAAAAATAAGGCTGGAGATAAAATGAAAGAATTGTGTACAATCTAGGATTCCTTCATTGCAAAAATCTTTTTAAAAACCATAAAAGTCAACTACTCATTTGGACCTCCCATGATGAATGACACAGGAATCAGACTGACTATATCTATGAAAAGAATCGCTGGAGAACCTCAGTATCAGCAGTCAAAACAAGGGCAGAGAATGACTATAGAACACACCATCAAGTGCAAATTCAAATTGAAGATGAAGAAAATGAAAACTACTCCATGAGAACTAAAACACAACCTTGAGTCTTCCATCTCCACAGCAGCCACGGAGCTCACAAGTGTGCAGTGCTGCAAAGTCCACAGCCCTGTGACATACACACGTCCGACTCATGTGCCTCTCACCACACACCACACCATGAGCTTGGTCAGTTCCAACAGTTCCATCATGCGACCTCATCCATACAAAGGTGCCACTCACCACACATCACATCACATCACGTGCTTGGTCCATTGCAATGTCCGCATCCTGCGACCTTGTCCGTGCCCCTCGCCACACCAGGTGTCTGGTCTGCCTCAACGTCCAGAGGCCTGTGACTTCAGTCCACCCAGCACGAACTGCTGCACAGACCATCCGGCATTTGGTTTGCTGAGACTTCTTAGTCCTAGGGCCTTATCCCTCCAGGTTCCCCTTGCACTTGCCTGCATTGCTCCTTTTAACACACAAGCTCTTTTAGTTTAACTCATTTTCTCCTTGAATGTTTAAACCAATGAGGTAATACTGCAAATTACGTACCATAGAACTATCTACAAAAACAAGTATCTGGAAAATGAAACAGATCCTAGCTTACCATAAAGGTTCTAACATAATTCAAATGAAGTGAGTAAGAATGAAATGAAATGAATACAATTCAAATGAAGTATTTCTGACAACACAGTATTAAGCAATGAGTGTTTTCTTACATCAGACAAAATATGACTAACTTACCTACACACACAGAGAAATGTATTGAAACAGAGTATACAGACATTAATATTTTCTTCAGGATGTATATCACACTTTAAGAAAAGAAAGTAAGGATTTTTAAAGATATGTCTCCAATCTGTTCCCTCAGATGTACCGGTTATATATAATCAGAATGTTAAGAGGCATATAGTAAAAAATGTATCAACCTTTTCCACGATGATAAGGTCTCCAACTCGTATGTCTGAACTCTTCACCTGCACTTTACCTTCAAAGAAAGAAGTAAAATAAATTTCAGAAAACAATAGCACATTAGCATTTCACTATCAGTTGACAATAACTACTTCAGAAATTATTTAGGGGAAAATTTTAGCAATTTCTATGCTCTTAAATTTTTACATTTACTTCTGAAAGATGTGGTCCCTAATAATTTGCTGCTTGTAGTAAGTGACCATTCACGGATCATTAACTATGCCCCAAATTAAAAGAAAGAGTCCTCTTGCTATGCACCATCCCATTGTTCCAGGACCCCTCAACTCAGCTCACAACTCAAGTGTCATAACCCCTCTGAGAGTTCCACTGTGACAAGCACTTAACTGGTCACAGCTGGCAGAATTGATCAAAGGAAGCAAGCCAATCACACTACAACACTCATGAGAAGCTCTACAGACACAGGCAAGAGCAGAAAACCTCCAAAATTCTTCCCCTCATTCTACATACCCGTATTTGTTATCTTGCTTTACAGGCATTCTATGTCATAATTATCACGTACACACTCAGGATGTTATGCATTATGGGCCTTTCACTGGCTCATAAACAGTTAGCAATACAACTAAGTTAGCAATACAACTAATAACTAGTCCACTCTCTGACTCATGTGAGTGAAGAAGGCCCCAGTATGGTCAGTAAGTAACTGATTTAGCTTTAACGGCCTCTTTCCAATAGACAATTGCATAGGACTGTGCAAAGAGAAGGTTACCAAGAGGTTTGGAAAACTTGCTTATAAACAAGTTGCACAGCACATTTGTGGGATTGTTGTTGTTAGGTGCCATCAAGTCACAACTCACAGTAACCGTACAGCCAACAGATCTGAACCTAGTCCTATCTTGTGTCCTCCTTATCCCCAGCACACTTGAGCACATTACCACAGTCACTGTATCAAGTCACCTTCCTCTCTTGTTGACCCTCCACCTTTCTAAGCATGATGTCCCTTTCCAAAGAAAAGCCATTCCTAACAAGATGCCCCAAGTATGTGAGAAAAAGTTTTATCATTCTTGCCTCTAAGGAGAAATCTGGTCACATTTTCTCCAAGACACATCTGTTCTCTCGGCAGCCCATGAGATATCCGGTACTCTTCTCCAACACCACAATGTAAAGGCATCAATTCTTATTCTGTCATCCTTATTCACTGTCCAGCTCTCAGATGCATAGCAGGGACTGGATAAACCATGCCTTGAATCAGGTACACCTTAATCTTTACACTGACATCACTGCTCTTCAGGACTTTGGAGAGGATTTTCCCAATGCCATGTTTTCTGATCTACTAACTGCTTGTACCAAGAATGTTGATGGAGGATTCAAGTAAAATTGAATCCTTGCCAACTGACATATTTCAACAAACAGCTACTGCCCTGGACATGCCCACCAGGCTGTGCCAAGAAATCTGGAGGACAACTACTGACTGGAAGAAATTCATATTTATTCCCATTTCAAAAAAAATGTGACCTAACAGTGTGGAAATTATCGTACAATATCACTAGTATCACACACAAGCAAAACCTTGCTGAAGATCATTCAAAAATGACTGGAGAACTACCAGAAATACAAGCTGGCTTAGAAGAGGTCATGGCACTAAAGACATTATTGCCAATGTCAGATGGATCATTTTAGAAAGCAGAGAGTACCAGAGGAATGTTTATCTGTGTTTCGTTGACTACGTAAAGGCATTTGACTATGTGGATCACAACAAATTGTGGTTAATCTTGAGGAAAATGGGAATCCCAGAACACTTGATTGTGCTTATGTAAAACCTATACTTGGATTAGGAAACAGTCCTCAGAACAGAGCAGGGAAACACTGCATGGTTCAAAATCAGGAAAAGAGTGCATCAGGGATGCGTCCTATCTCCATACTTTTTCAATCTATATGCAGAACAGATCATTCAGGAGGTTGGGTTTATGAGGAGGAATGTGGCATTAGGATTGAAGGAAGATTCATCAACAACCTATATTTATGCAGATGACACAACCTTCCTTGCTGAAACCAATGAGGTCCTGAAGTGCTTGCTGCAGGAGGTCAGACTCTGTAGTCTTCAATTTGACTTGAAGTTCACCATCAAGAGGACAAAGATTATCACTACTGGGCCAAATGGGAGTACCAAGATGGATGGAGAAGAGATTGCGGTTGTTAACAGTTACTTCTTGCTCGGTTCCCCAATCAGCACTTTTGGCACCAGCAGTCAGGAAATGAAAGGATTAATTATATAAATCTGCTGTCAGGGACCTCTCCAGAGCATAGAGATGCAATGATGTCAGTCTAGAGACTAATGTGTGCCTAATCTAGGCCTTGGTCTTCACAACTACATTCTATGCATCAGAGAGCTGGACAATGTCTAAGAATGACGAAAGAATCAATGCTTTTGAGTTGTGGTACTGAAGAAGAATCCTGAACATACTATGGACCACCAAGAAAACAAATATCTGTCTTGGAGAGGGTGAAACTAAGTTTCTTCTTGGAGGCTAGGATTTTGAAGCTCTATCTCACACACTTTGGGCACATGGCTAGGTGGGACCAATCCTTGGAGAAGGATATCATGCTTGGAAGGGTGGAGAGGAGGAAGACTCTGCTTCAGATGGATTGATACAGTGACTAGGGCAATGGGGGTTGGTATGTCGGAATCAGTAAGACTGGCTCAGGACAGGGCAAGCTTCAGAGCTCTTATACAGAGGGTCACTATGAGTGGCAGGCGACTCAACAGCACATAACAACATCTCCATCTACCATGCTGTTGCCTACTGGCCCAGTGGTGAGGATTTTGTTTCTTGATGCGGAGATGTAATCTGTATTGAAGGATGTAGTCCTTGACCTTATGCAGCAAGTCCTCCTCACTTTCAGAAAGCAAAGCTGTGTCATCAGCATAACACAGCTTGCTGATGTATCTTTTTCCAATCTTGATGCCATATTCTTCTTCATAAAGTCCAGCTTCTTGAATTATTTGCTCAGACTGAATAGGTATAAAGGAGAAAGGACACAGCCCTGATGCACACCTTTCCTGATTTTGAACCATACAGTGTTTCCTTGTTCTGTTCAGAAAACAGCTTCTTGGTCTAGGTATAGGTTTCATTTGAGCATAATTAAGTGTTCTGGAATTCCCATTCTTCTCAATAAAAGTTTGCTATGTTTGATACAGTCAAAAGCCTATTCATACTCAATAAAATGCAAATAGACTTCTTCTGGTATTCTCTGCTTTCAGGCAGAATTCATCTGACAGCAGCAGTGCCATGACCTATTCTACACTCAGCTTCAACTTCTGGTAGTCTATGTACTGAACTAGCTGGTTTTGGAAGATCTTCAGCAATATTTTGCTTGCATGTGAACCAATAATTTCTACATTCTGTTGGATCACTTTTCTTGGGAATGGGAATATGGATCTCTTCCAGTCAGTTTACCAAGTAGTTAGTTGTCTTTCAAATCTCCTAGCATAGACTGGTGAGCACACCTAGGGCAGCATCTGTTACCTGAAACATGTCAATTCATATCCCACTGACCGTTAGGACTTTATCTTTTGCCGATGATTTTAAAGTAGCTTGAACTCCTGTTATCATCAGCACTGGATCTTTATCATATGCTACTTCCTGAAATAGTTCTGAGCTGGCCAATTCTTTTTGGTACAGTGACTTTGTGTATTCTCTCCATCTTCTTTTCATGTTCCCTGGATCATTAAAGTTTTTCCCATAACATCTTTCAGTAGTGCAACTCAAGGCTTAAATTTGTATTTCAGTTCTTTCAGCTTGCCAAGTCAAGAGAGTTCTTCTCTTTTTATTCTCCAACTGCAGCTCTTTGCACATTACATCTTGTTTGTCTTCTCAAGATATTCTTTGAAATCTGTCCACCTTTTTTACTTCGATACCTCTTCCCTTTGCTTTGGCTTCATTTTGGTCTATTCTTCCTTGTGTGTTTTTGTAATGACCTTTTACTCTCTTCAGAAATGACATCTTTAATATCATTCCATAACTCATCTGGTCTTCGATCATCACGTTTCATGCTTTACATCTACTCTTGAGATGATTTTTAAGTTCAGATGGGATAGACCCAAGGTTGTATTTTGGTTCTTTTGAATTTCTTCAACTTGAATTTGCACATGAGTAATGTTGCACAGTCAGTATGTGGCAGGTGGCAGGTGGTGCTGGAGGTTCTGCTGGTAGAGTGTTGATGGTCTGTTCCACAGTAGCATCTGGCCTGGTTTTAACAGCTGATACTGAGCTGCTCTAATGATTCTTTCCACAGATGTAATCTATCTGATGATTCCTGCGCAGTCCATAATGTGGAGTTCATCTGTATAGGTGCCATCTGTGTTTCTTAAAGAAAGTATTCACAATAAAGAAATTGTTGAACATCTAAAATTCAAATATCAATCTCCAGCCTCATTTCTGACCCCCAAGTCCCTAATTTCCAACTATAATTTCTTGTTTCCAACCTTTGCATCCTAGTGATCAATTATTATTAATGCATCTTAACTGTATGCTTGGGCAGTTTCAAACTGCCAAAGTTGGTAGAATTCCTCAATTTTCTCATCTTTAGCTTTAGTGGTTGTGTGCATATTTGAGTAACAGGGGTATTAAGGTCTTCCTGGTATGTGTTTGGATAGTATCCGATCACTCAGAAGCACTTTACTTCAGGACAGACCTTGCAAAGGTCTTTTCAACAATGAAGCATCATCATTCTTCCTCCGTTTTCTATTCCCAGTGTAGTAAATCATATGACTGTCCAATTCAAAGTGACCAATTCTATGGACTCATGCAAAAAAGGTATAAAGAATTAACGTAGAGATTGGTCAGTCTGCCATTCTGCTAGGCTTAAGACAAACCACCACCACAGTGAGAAAGAATCTCACTGCCCTCAGGAGAACTGAGGCTCCCAGGCTGACACTCACACACCCAGAGACACCATGACACATGGCAGCAGAAGCAGCAGCAGGAACAGAAAGCCAGCAGACAGCTGGGGCTTCTGTCCAAGGAGCGAGTTCTAGGTGCCCTTGGGCAGGCTTGC